CAGTTTTACATTTAGGATATATGCATTAATTGAATTCATGAAGATAAATATCTGAGTAGATCCATCACACCAAGATTCCAGGTTTGCTTTCTGTAGGGTCTAGCTTTACTCATCAAAGCCATTCTGTGCTGAATTGCTTCCCGCACATGTCTATCTTTTATTCTCATCTCAACTACTCTCTTTAGATATAATAACAATCTTTGCAGAGACTTTTCTGAAACTGATTGCAGTGCCATCTGCCTGGTATGATTAATGAACCTTGTTCTTCTTTTTTCTTCTTGGGGGGGGGGGGGGACTCTTTTATATACTGTGGTAGGTCTGCTGGTGCATTGGACACGCCTGATCGGTTGGCAGGAAAATTTTGCAGAGTGTTTTAAAGGTTGGATCTATCATTCACCTTATCTTATATATATATATATACATATATATCTTTTCCTTTTCTGGTTCTGTCTTCTTTATTTTCTAACATCCATGATTCAGTTATTTACTTAATCTCCGTGAATCAGGATGATCCTTCCCCCCTCCCGCCCCCCCTCCCATTTTTTTTTTCCCCCAACCCTCTTTCTCCTTTTTTAACTTTTTATCTCCCTGCTGTAAAAATTTATCCGGTATTCTCCTTTTACTGTTTGGTTAGGAGAGTAAATTGAGGGGGGCTTTTTTTTTTTTTTTTTTTTAAAAAAAAAAGTTAAAAAAACAAGCAAACGACCAAATTATTCGGCTCAATTTTGGTTGGTTCTAATGGTTAATTGATTTAGCAGTTTGTTTAATTAATTTTACTTATTTTATCTTCTTAATCGACAGAAGAAATAATAAATTAATACTTTAAAGCAATTAAAAATGTATTTAATATAATAATCTTCAAAATTACCGTTTCCTTTTACCATTAGTAGTTGTGAAACTGTTAATGCTATTGCTGTGTGTGTATATATATATGGTGTTTCTTTCTCTCACTTCACCTTCCCATATTAACATATACTAGGATATATAAACAAACCCACCACCTCATCTCCATGAAAAATCCTCCATATAGATTTGTTTTATTATTGTATTCATTTTAGTATTCGTCATTTCTTCCGTGTTTTTTTTTTCCATTTTCTTTTTCCTTCTCTCTTTCTCTCTCGCTCATTGCTTCCCTTGTAATTCAAAACCCAATCAACTAGCAAAATTTGCAAGATTTGGGCGGAAATCTGGTCGGATCTTGCTTTCTGGGTCGTGGATATTGGTGGGTCTGACTCTTATTTACCTACAAAGCTAAATCTTCTTTCTCCCTCCTCATCCGCCTCCATTAACAGAAACTACTGCAGCTCAAGAAATTCTTGCCTTGTCTGTTTAATCTCTGCGATTCTTGTTTGAGCTTCGATCTTGGATTTTGCAATGGGAATGGCAGCAGCGGAGTCTCAGTTCCATGTCTTAGCTGTTGACGATAGTCTTATAGATAGAAAGCTCATTGAGAGGCTCCTTAAAACTTCATCCTACCAAGGTATTCATTCATTCATTTGTATTTTCTTCCGCTTTCTCGCCTACCAAACAGAAATTAAAAAAGAACAAGAAATTGATTCGAACTGGGTTCTTATGGTTATTGTTTGTTATGCGACTTTTCTTCGCAGTCACAACTGTTGATTCTGGTAGTAAGGCTTTGGAATTTCTGGGGTTCCATGAAGAAGATGACCAAAACAACAACAATCACCCGGACTCTCCCTCTGTTTCCCCAAACAATAATCATCAGGTTCACTTTTCTCTTCATTTTTTTTTCTTCTTTTATTTTCTTTTTTTTTTTTTAATGTTTTTTTAATTCTTTCTATTTTTGTTGTTGTACAGGAAGTAGAAGTGAATCTTATTATTACAGACTACTGTATGCCTGACAAGGCAGGTTATGATTGCTCAAGAAAATCAAAGTAAGCTTTTGGTTTCTATTCCTTTGTCTTTTTTCTCTTTCTCTTACTTGCATCATTATATTCCTCTGTTTTTTCCCTCAATCATTTTCCACTTTGGGTTGATCATTTTTCTTTTTATGCTTATAAAAATTATGTATATTCTCTCAAAAATCTTTTACCAGATTTGATTTTTTTTTTCCCCCAATCCCAAAATGATGATATTTAACTAAAGAAAAAGTTGCAGAGATAATGGGTCTTGTTATTATTGCCACTTGCTAATGAGTGAAAAAGTCAATGGAAATCTCTTGGAATATTTTGTCACCCACTTTCCTATCAAAACAAATCATGCTCAAGATATTCAGGGATTTAAAGAAAAAATTGGTTTTCTCAAATGGGTCCTCTTTATTGATGAAGAATAATCACAGTGATCCAATAAAATTTACAGACGTTCGTTTGGTTTCTCTGATTTTGCAGGAATCTTCATCTCTAAGAAACATACCGGTAGTTATCATGTCATCTGAGAATGTTCCTTCTAGGATCAGCAGGTAATTGAAAAAGACAAAAACCTGACAAACAAAACTTTTACTATTTTCTCATTTCCTTTCCTTTCCTTTCCTTTCCTGGGAAATCAGGGTTTCAGTTTTAGATTGATAATTTTGGTTATAACTGGATTTATGGATAACAGATGTTTGGAGGAAGGAGCAGAGGAATTCTTCTTGAAACCAGTGCAACTCTCTGATTTGAATAAACTAAAACCCCATATGATGAAAACCAAATTCAAGAATCATCAACAGGAGGAAGGAGGAATAGGAGAAAAACCAGAGAGACAAGGACAAGAGTCAGCCATAACCAAGTTCAATAATCAAAAACAAGAAGAAGAAAAACCAGAGAGGCAAGGACAAGAATCGGCCAAAACCAAGTTCAATAATCAAAAACAGGAAGAGGAAAAACCAGAGAAGGAAGAAGAGTCAGTCAGAAAAGAGTTTGTCTCACAACAAACCAGTAATAGCAAGAGGAAAGCCATGGAAGAGGGGATTTCGCCTGGGAGAACGAGACCCAGATACAATGGCATCACTACCATGGTGTAGTTTGATCATGGAAAATATTCTCTGTTTTTTTTTATAAATTAAACAATGTAATTCAGATTATCTTTTTTTTTTTGGGTCTCCCTCTTTGTTTTTTTGTAGATTATATTTATGACCTGCTGATAATACAGGGTTTATAGGAATTTGGAGGTATAGACTTTCATGTATACATTTTTACATGAAAATATTTAATCCAATTTTGTTGTGCTGATTAAATTTCAATCTTGACAAAAAAAAAAAAGATTTTGATATTTGAAGAATTGTTCTCAATGTTGGGTTTTTTGAGTTAATATATTTTTAATAAGATGCAATATTGTTACTAATAAAATATTTAATGTTAGATAATTACATCTTAAAAAAATACTAGTTTGATTATGTGCACTCTTTTAATTCATAATATAATCTATAAAATTTTTAAATATAAGATATACATCGTGATAAATTAGCATTAATAATTTTGTTTTGTTTCAACCGACTTAATTATTATTATTTTTTCTCATATTTAAACTAATTTTTGTATACTATGATTAAGTTTTACTAAGGAGGTG